TAAGTATAAGAACAAGGTTTAGTGCTAGTGCTTTAGGATCACAATGACTGTTGCCTGGATATGTTGTAAACCACCTGAAGATAAAGGCAGGGCTTGTAAGAGAAAGCACACAAAACTGCCTCTCCCTATAATGTGCGTGTATCATGCCCATCACTAGTAATCTCATCACACAGTGTATTTTAAGTTTGGTTAAAGGTCCAGTGTGTAACATTTAGAAGGATCTATTGTCCAAAATGAAATATAATATTCATAGGTATGTTTTCATGTGTATAATTCACAAAAAAATAAGAATCATGTTGGTGAATCATATCTTAGTGCAAGTCATTTTTATCTACAGAGTCAGAGTCTACCATGTTGAACCACAAGCTTGGAACAGGGGTAGCAATCAGCAACTACTTAGCTAGATGAAAGTATATCCTACATACTGGTCCTTTAAACTTCCCCTCCACAAAGATAAGAATAGGCAATGATGGAAACCACCAAATCACTCACTAAGACCTGGTGATGCTGAGGGGTTGTTAAATTGGAGCTAGATTTATCCTACAATTTTTATGAACCTATGTGTGTGTGTGTCAGATGTAGGTTAGAGTCCATTTTCCTACGCATTTGAATAGTGCCATAATTCACTGATAGGGTAATCAAATCATAAACACACACACACACACACACACCACACACACACACACACACTGCAACTTCTACAAATTGACAGTTTTTTATCAGTGTTCTATGACTGTGGTCTGATAAAAGACACTTTGTGTTAAGGTTAAAGGAAAATAATTGATAGGCTTTTTGAAGGAATATGTATTGACTGAAGGTGCTGTTCTGACAGAGGGGGGTTGATCTGACTCAGCTGCATCAAGATCTGTTGACAGCTTATATTCTGCCGTAAAGTGTTTGGAAAAAACAGCCAAATCAACCTTTCTGGATTTCTTGACTAGTCTGCGTATGACTGCGTATCCATCAGTGTAGTATGATAAATGTGGCTATTCATTATCATTGCAGGGGTCTATCCCTTGTTTCCTGTCATGTACATACTTTATGTACAATATAGGCTGGTATTGGAGTTTTGGTTATTGAATAACATAATTAGATTCTAAAAATTAATAATGGTAATGATTAATTTATATCAAAACAAGTAACATGGTTAGAAATAAAAAAAAAACAACGTTTTCTCTACATTTATTCCCATGTGCTGTATAGAGCTGTAGCTGGCAACATACAGTGGGTAAAGTATTCAGACCCCTTTAAATTTTTCACTTTGTTTCATTGCAGCCATTTGCTAAAATCAAAAAAGTTCATTTTATTTCTCATTAATGTACACTCAGCACCCCATCTTGACAGAAAAAACAGAAATGTAGAAATTTTTGCAAATTTATTAAAAAGAAAAACTGAAATATCACATGGTCATAAGTATTCAGACCCTTTGCTCAGTATTGAGTAGAATCACCCTTTTGAGCTACTACAGCCATGAGTCTTCTTGGGAATGATGCAACAAGTTTTTCACACCTGGATCTGGGGATCCCTCTGCCATTCTTCCTTGCAGATCCTCTCCAGTTCTGTCAGGTTGGATGGTGAACGTTGGTGGACAGCCATTTTCAAGCCACTCCTTTGTTATTTTAGCTGTGTGCTTAGGGTTATTGTCTTGTTGGAAGGTGAACCTTCGGCCCAGTCTGAGGTCCTGAGCACTCTGGAAGAGGTTTTCTTCCAGGATATCTCTGTACTTGGCCGCATTCATCTTTCCTTCAATTGCAACCAGTCGTCCTGTCCCTGCAGCTGAAAAACATCCCCATAGCCTGATGCTGCCACCACCATGTTTCACTGTTGGGATTGTATTGGGCAGGTGATGAGCAGTGCCTGGTTTTCTCCACACATACCGCTTAGAATTAACGCCAAAAAGTTCAATCTTGGTCTCATCAGACCAGAGAATCTTATTTCTCATAGTCTGGGAGTCCTTCATGTGTTTTTTGGCAAACTCTATGCGGGCTTTCATATGTCTTGCACTGAGGAGAGGCTTCTGTCGGGCCACTCTGCCATAAAGCCCCGACTGGTGCAGGGCTGCAGTGATAGTTGACTTTGTGGAACTTTCTCCCATCTCCCTACTGCATCTCTGGAGCTCAGCCACAGTGATCTTTGGGTTCTTCTTTACCTCTCTCACCAAGGCTCTTCTCCCACGATTGCTCAGTTTGGCTGGACGGCCAGGTCTAGGAAGAGTTCTGGTCGTCCCAAACTCCTTCCATTTAAGGATTATGGAGGCCACTGTGCTCTTAGGAACCTTGAGTGCTGCAGAAGTTATTTTGTAACCTTGGCCAGATCTGTGCCTTGCCACAATTCTGTCTCTGAGCTCCTTGGGCAGTTCCTTCGACCTCATGATTCTCATTTGCTCTGACATGCACTGTGAGCTGTAAGGTCTTATATAGACAGGTGTGTGCCTTTCCTAATCAAGTCCAATCAGTTTAATTAAACACAGCTAGACTCCAATGAAGGAGCAGGACCATCTCAAGGAGGATCAGAAGAAATGGACAGCATGGGAGTTAAATATGAGTGTCACAGCAAAGGGTCTGAATACTTATGACCGTGTGATATTTCAGTTTTTCTTCTTTAATAAATTTGCAAAAATTTCTACATTTCTGTTTTTTTCTGTCAAGATGGGGTGCTGAGTGTACATTAATGAGAAATAAAATGAACTTTTTTGATTTTAGCAAATGGCTGCAATGAAACAAAGAGTGAAAATTTTAAAGGGGTCTGAATACTTTCCGTACCCACTGTACAAAGATCTCTGTGTGTGCGTGTTCTGTACTGTTCAGTTAGGATTTAGACAACATCATAGCACAGACAGCACTGGTTAAAGTTAATAACGACCTTTTAATTGCTTCAGACAATGGGCTTGTCGCTGTACTTGTATTGTTAGATCTCAGTGCTGCATTTGACACCATTGACCATAATATTCTATTACAGAGACTTGAGCATCTAATTGGCATTAAAGGAAATTAACAACAATCCTCCATAAACACTAAAGTTAGTCATGGAGTTCCACAAGGGTCTGTGCTTGGACCAATTATATTTCACTATTCACCGTTTATATGCTTCCCTTAGGCAGCATTAGGCAACAGATGATATGTTATATCTATCAATCAAGCCTGATGAAATGAATCAGTTATCTCAATTACAAGCATGTCTTTCTGATGTTAAACTCAGGAATCTTGGATCTTTGTTAAGTGATATGTCCTCCCACATAAAGCAAACCTCTAGGACTGCCTTTTTTCACTTACGTAATATTGCAAAAATCAAACACATCCTGTCACAGACAGATGCAGAAAAACTAGTTCGTGCATTTGTTGCTTCTAGGCTGGATTACTGCAACTCCTTATTATCCGGTTGCCCCAATAAGTCAATTTAGACGCTACAATTGACTCAGAACGCTGCAGCACGAGTACTGACAGGAACTAGGAAAAGAGATCATATTTCTCATGTATTAGCTTCTCTGCACTGACTCCCTTTAAAATTCAGAATATATTTTAAAATCCTCATTCTAACCTACAAAGCTCTTAATGGTCAGGCCCCTTCATATCTTATAAAGCTCATAGTACCCTATTACCCCATTAGAACACAGCGCTTTCTGAATGCAGGGCTACTTATGGTTCCTATAGTCTCAAAAAGTAGAACAGGAGCCAGAGCCTTCAGCTACCAAGCTCCTCTCCTGTGGAACCAGCTTCCAGTTTGGGTTTGGGAGGCAGACACCCTCTCTACATTTAAGAGTAGGCTTAAGACGTTCCTCTTTGATAAAGCTTATAGTTATGCTACTATAGGCCTAGACTGCCGGGGGATTTCCCATGATGCACTGAGCTCCTCTCTTCCTCTCTCTTTCTTTCTGCACACATTCATGTCCAATTAATGCATGTTTCTAACTTCACTTCTTCCCCAGACTTATTGTGCTTTCTCGTCTTACAGGTTCTCATGGAACCTGGTGGTGCCTGCTGCCATTTTTTAAATTGAAATAATGTAAACCCACCCTCTCTAGAATATGGGACACAAAAAAACTATATTTTCAGCAAACATTAATGCATAGTTACCTTTTATGTCAGAAATTTAAAAAAACATAATGCAACATGCAACAGTTCGGGCACCCTAAGTGTTCTGGAACGTCTCAGACCTTCATCAGCTCACTTTGGTTCCCAAGGAAAAACTGCTATTTTTTGGTTCCAGTTGGAAACCAACTTTTCAGATTCTAAACCAATTTAATTTTGGTCGAAATGTTTCAAATGATTATTGTTAACCGGAATTGCAAAAAAGTGCTCAGTTGTTCACAGGCGATACATACAATAAAAAAAACCCCACTATTCATGAGAAAGTATAGCTCTTAAGTATAAAAAAAGTTATTTCTCAGACTGATTCAGATTTTATCCATGCTGACGCTGTTGCTGAGCAACGCCTGCCTTTTTGCACATTCACGACAGAGTCAGGTGTGTGGCGGGGGCGGCCTGACGAATCGGTGCCCACATGCTCACAGTGGTCAGGCTGATAGAAAAAGGGTATGGGGCTGATCAAATGGGGTTAAATTACATTAGAGAAGCAAATAAGCAAAATAAATAATAATCAAATAAAATCATTCCTTTCCTTTTATGGCCCAAAATTGTTTGTAGTTTCAGTGGCTGACTACACAAAAAAAGTAATTAAACTGCTTGAATTATGCAGATATGAATGTAGTTAAACTACCAGCAAGATACTGAAAAATTTAGCTAAACTACTAGTTTAATTTACGTAATTCACTACTCCACAACACTGTTATTAAGAAGGGTTATGCTGTAAGCTCAAGAAATTTCAGATGGTAAACAAATAGCTTTTATGGCTTTCATGGAAACATATGCACACACACACACACACACACACGCTGATAAAGGCTGATAATAAGGCTAGTTGACCTTATCTTCTGTAGCTCCGCCTTCATACCCTCCACCCTCTGAAGCCTCATTTAAACAGTTCTTAAGTTCCCCTTTTCTGACATTTAATGCATGAAGCTGCACTTGATGTGTGATAGCTAACAATTATCATATTTTTGTGTTTTTCCAAGTGTGTCAGAAGAAAAGGTTTGAGGCAAGTCTGAATAATCTGGTTGGAGGAGTACTTGGGATTTTAGGCATTTTTAATTATTTTTAACAGTAGTTTGGCCTTCCACCTGAAGACATCATGTGTACAGGAGCCTGTTCTAAATTCATTGCCATCCCCCTCTACGTCCTGGCGGCAGTGTCGGTCATCTGCAACATCATGCTCTTCTTCCCTGACTTTAAAACAGAATATGCAGCCAAAGACCGAGAAGGAACTGACCGAATCACTGAGGAAGTCAAGTATATGGGAGGCCTGATAGGAGGAGGAATCATGGTGAGTAGATTTGATGAGTTACATTTAGTGTGATTATTATTAAGGCTTCCAAAAAGGTTAAAGCTGGTTAAAAATAGATTATATAGATAGATTTTTATGTCATTTAATGGGATATTCCCATCAAGTTAAATTTTTTCGAATCGAATTAGTGTTCTACTCCAGTCAGCATCACCTTGCTATGCTTTTATTGTTTTATTGTATTGTTTTTTCCTTGTACGTGTGTATCTGTGTAATTATTAATTTGCACATACGACCAACGTCGTATGTGCAAATTAATGGCAAGCAACATGCATACGGTTTGGTTAGAAGATAAAAGATTGCTTTCTCTTTATTTTAGGACCTTTCCCATTGGACTGTTCTTCCTTCATTCATGTTATTTTATCTTTTTGTTTTCCATTTTTCCCCCTCTCTCTGTTTCTGCTATCAGGTCCTCATTCCAGCCATCCACATCCATCTAACCAGTGCTAACAACTGCTGTGCCAACCGCTGTGGGGTAAGTGCACAGTATATGGATGCTGTCTAATTGAAGTGTTGACATTCTCTTGTTGCCATGGAAGGAACATTTTGTACCGAGTTGTTCTTCAGAGCAGTGATTCACAACCCACTATGAAAAAGTTATTTTCAAAGTTAAGATCATTATATAAAATATAAACTTTTTAAATTTTTTATTTTTCTATTTTAATACATACAACATACTATATATATATATATATAGGCCACACCATACTATACATAAGAATAACAATACCTCCGGCGCCCACACATCATGGCTGAACCATCCGCAGACACACCACAAGACCAACATCACAATCAAAAGGCCAACTCATCAGTCCACCAAATAGCCAAACAAAGACCTAAAACAAATACCCCAACAAACCCCTAGCACCCCAACAATCCAAACAAACCATACTCCTAGACTTACACCTATATAGATCTACCTAGACAATTGAAAAGAGAAAAAAATAAAAGCAATTTTTAAAAAATGGTGCCGTTGACCACACACCTACGCGCACAAACACACAATTGTGTAATAAAAATGTGTACAGAGTTAAGTGAATGGGCCAAAACAGCAACAAATGAGAAGAAAGAGAGACAAAAGGTAATAACAATAGTTCTAATAATAATTATAATGATAAAATTGCATGGATAAATAATAATAATTTCAGTTGTTATAATGAGTGCAGTGATAGTATATATAGTATATAACTATAAATAGTTATCATCAAGATCTAAACTTTGAAGACCTGAACACAAACTATATTCATAGAGCCTTCACTCTGCATTAGAAAAGTAACCACCAAAGAGCAGGCACAACAATGGCCAAGTAAAAAAACAACAACACAGAATTTGTCAAAAAAGCAGCCTATTAAGTATGGATGATTGTTAAAAAAATTCCAATCCAAATCACTTCAGTAATTGTGGTCACTATTCGAATTCATTGTACAATTTATCAATTTTTATATACATAGCAATTTGGATGACTTTTAGCAGATTATTTCCTGGGGGTTAGGGTTAGGGTTAGGGTTAACCCTCATCTGAGATGAGTTTTTAGGAACTTTTCATACAATTATCTGTCTTTATTGTGTATTTTTAAAATGTTTAACAATATACATAATAGGGTTTACTAAATACTAAATTCAGTGTTTTCTTGTCCCTGGACTTTCCCATTGTTCTGTTGATTGTTTTAACTGCATACTTTTTTCTCTAAATATATAGTCAAGTCTGAATCTTGAATACAAATCTAAACTTTAAAATGTTAAAATTTAATTAAATCTGCTTCACAAAAATAAAGAAGAAATGTAGGCCTACATTTTTTTTAATAATTATTATTTTTTTAATTATGTATATATTGAAAATCATAATATTACATGACTATATATATTCATGAGTGTATAATCACCCAAATGTAGGAATTGTTGTGTTTTTGTTACCTTAGAAGGAGACATTTTAATCGACTGACGGTGTGAGTCGCCTTCCATGTTTCCATGTTCCATGAGTTCGCCATGTTGAACTACCATGTTTCTACAGTAGCACAAAAAGGTCAAGCCAAACACTGGCTCTATTTAAGAGCGCTCAAGATTTTTTGTTGTTAGTTAGTTGCAATCCGAAAACCTCACCTATATATCACAAAATCCTTTAAACTGGGTTTTTAATTCTAGGCCATTAGTGCAGTTTGCAGTTTCCGTGCGCATCATAGCCATGGTCAAGTTTCTTCTTTTTGCTTGGAAAGGGAGGGGGAAGTAAGGGAGTTGCGACCTACAACTACACCACAAAATCCTACTTTTAAATATTTGTATAGGGTAGATGTTATATGAAGGGCTACAACTTACATTTCTTTGTGCAAATAAATTAACCTTAATGTTGATACAGTATGAAATACTGTGTTCTCTCAAGCTTTTTCTGTGAAGTGTAATACACTGTCAAGGTTGAATCTCTTTCTTACAGCACTGACTCCACTGTGTGTGCTCCATGCAGATGTTCCTGTCCATTGGTTTTGCAGCAGCTGGCGTGGTGGGGGCTGTGTACAGTCTAAGTGTTGCTGCCCTGGGCCTTGCTAATGGACCATTGTGCTACTGGAGCAATGGGAGCGTCACTCCAGAATGGGGAGTGCCTTTTGCCAACAGGTATTGGCCGTCAGTATAGACAGATATCATACATTTAACATTTTTACTGTTACAGATACAATGACATTTATAAAATACTACTTTGAAAAAAGTTTCTTCTATTTACGTAAGACTACACTGCTAATGTTCGTCCTTTTCAGTAATGGGAGCTACCTGGCTAACAAGGACATGTGGGAATGGTGTAAACTTCCAGAGAATGTGGTCGAATTCAACGTGGGACTGTTCTCCACTCTGCTAGTGGCAGCATGTGTGGAGCTTGTCCTCTGTCTCATTCAGATGGTCAATGGATTGTTTGGATGTATCTGTGGCACAGGCAGCAAGGAGGTGAGACTAAATAGTAAAGGGTTCAGCATGCCAGAGACAAACAAGACTGTTAGAACTAAAGGCAAAAATGTTTCTAGTTGTTCTACAATTACACACTTGTCTTTGCCACAGGCGGTGGAGGTGTGTTTGTGTCAAATAATCAGCTTTTATGACACACAGAGAGACCCAACCACAACCACATGATCAACATTGTACAAAGGAATACACCATTTTATATGAAGTAGCATCAATCTCAAAAGTGGCCAGTTCCATAGTTTTATGCCTAATGGTATCCCACCAAACATGAAGAGAACATTTATCCCCCAATACTTTATTTAGCACTAGTTCACTCGCAGGATAATTTGTATTACTAGCACCACTCACGCAATTACCACAAGGTCAATATTCACCCTTTAATCCGGCTAACAATGCTGGTATGACCCCAAAATATACAGATTTGTCTGTGATTTAATGACAATAAACTGATCAAAAGGTTGCAGAAATAACTACATCTTGATACCAATTTGCGAAAAGTCTGAATTCGTCAGGTCTGTCTGTCTACTACTTTTGATAGGTATTGACCACTACAGACCTGGAGCCCGGAAGTTGCTCAAATCCGTACACTTTCCCATTTTTCCTGCTAGGACACATCAACATTGAGGACAAAATTTTCACTTGCTGCCTAATATATTCCACCCACTGACAGGTGCCATGTTAACAAATAATCAGTGTTATTTATTTCACCTGTCACTGGTCATACGTTTTATGGCTGATCGGTGTAAATCTACTGTTTAATCCCAAAGATTCTCTGAGCTCACCTCTTGCCAGTAAACGTCTCCATATCAGAGCAGAATCTGGTGTGACAATGGGTGTTTATTCCTCCAGAACTATATCTCAAATGGTCACCAGTTCTTTGGTGTTGCTCACATAAACCTTCCATGTAGGGAGATGTCTCTTTGGCCTGACTCAGTCAATTGCTCTTCAGCTGCTTGGGATCTGATGTCTTGCTCAATGACACTGAGGCCAGGTATTGTGTGTGCTTGGACTGTGATCCAGGTGTGTAAACTGACCTCCATCTCTCTGTCTTCTCTCAACAGTAAGCTGAAATACAACACACCATGACCTCTTGAAGAAGAAATGACAGGGGTCATTATCACCATCAGCACCTTTATCCACATCATCATGGTTTACTGCACCAATGGGGGATGGGATAGGTGTTAAGGCTGGAGATATACTTGCTTTTACCCATTGTTCAGCTGTCCACTGGTTTTCCCTTTGTGCCCCAAATCATCATCATTATTATAAATTCTTCAAGAGGAATGACTGGGATTATTGATGAATATTACTTTCTAACTAATTCATTGTTCTCAGATTACACTGATTGTAGACTGTAGATGGAAAGACTGATGTATGCTGTAGTTGTGTCTGTAAATTTGTATGTTTAAAAATATTTTGTAATAAAGCTCTGGACAAAAGCTTACAAAGTATACCAAATAGAGGCTAACACACGCTAAACCTGGGTTCACGGAGTCAAGTTGTCTTCTTGATATCCAGAATACAGTTAAAGCTGCAGTAGGTAACTTTAAAAAAACATTTTGTCATATTTTTCTAAATGTGCACTATATCTTGACAGTAGTACATGACACAGATATTCTGTGAAAAAAAATCTTTAATCTGGCTCCTCCATTGTTTCTAATGGCATTTGTAAGAATCAACTGGGCCTGGACAAAAACAACCAATCAGAGCTGAGAAACAATAAAGACGCTTTGGTTTAGAGGCAAAGAAAGATAGTATATTGCTGAGTGTCATTTCCAGGGTCCCCAAAGCATCTGTATTTGACAGTCAAAATTCAGAATCACTGCAACCACAAGAGGTCCTTGAGGATACAATGATAAATGTGCACAAAAAATATAAGGCTGTCCAGTAGTATGAGACATTAGCTGCGGATAGCTGGAACACCTGGAATACTTGATTCTGTTATTGTGTTATGGGCCATTTACATAAACAACTAATTTAACTAATAAAACACATATTCAATAGGATGTTGATATTTGAAAAAAAACCACAAAGATTTATAAGGGACAAAAACAGAAACCTTTACAACTGCAGATGTACTGTACATGTGTACATAGCCTACGCTAATTTCCAACACCAATCCCTTGATAGGCATTGATAGTATAAACAAAACAAAGTGTAAATGACATATAAAACAAACAAGGCATAATACTTAATATAGAAACAATTTCAATTCAATTCAATTTTATTTGTATAGCGCCAATTCATAACAGAAGTTATCTCAGGACACTTTTCAAATAGAGCAGGTCTAGACCGAACTCTTTAAAACATTAATTACAGAGACCCAACAGTACCACCATGAGCAAGCACTTGGCGACAAGGGCAAGGAAAAACTGCCTGTTAAAAGGCAGAAACCTAGGACAGATCCTTCGGATCTAGGTGGGTGGTCGTCTATCTCGACCAGTTGGGGTGAAGAGAGAGAGAGAGAGAGAGAGAGAGAGAGAGAGACATATAGACAGGTGCACAGCAACAACAGTATTGGCAATGGCAATCTAGCAGGACCATGGCAGGAGGCTGTAAATAATGTTATAAGGAGTTCGGTCTAGACCTGCTCTGTTTGAAAAGTGTCCTGAGATAACTTCTGTTGTGAATTGGCGCTATACAAATAAAATTGAATTGAAAAAGGGCGGCTGTGGCTCAGAGGCAGAGCAGGTCGTTCCTTAATGGGAAAGATGTGGGTTCGATCCCTGGCTCCTGGTGCCACGTGTCGAAGTATCCTTAAGCAAGATACTGAACCCCAGATTGCTCCTGATGGTGTATGAATGTTAGTTTCTGTTTGATGGACTTTGCCATCATTGAGTTAATGTGTATGAAAGGGTGAATGTGGCACGCAGTGTAAAAGCACTTTGAGTGGTTGGAAGACTAGAAAGGTGCTGTACAGGTCCATTTACCATTTATCAATTTAGTCATATGAGATTGCAGTGTTCTAGTGGAGTGATGGGATACTATGAGCTCTTTAAGATATGAAGGTGCCTGACCACGAAGAGCTTTATAGATTAGGAGGAGGATTTTAAATTATATTCCGATATTTATATGATTTATAGCAGTGTAAGTATATATCTGCAGTTTTTCTCACAGGATTTTGTGAGACTATGGTGGGTGGACGCCGGACCCTGTAGGGGGGTCCGGGGGCATGCTCCCCTGGAAGATTTTCTTTTTACATTTTAAAGTTAAATGGATCAATCTGGTGCACTTTGAAAGCAAAATTAAGAGGCTAGATCCACGAAGAACTGTGTGCTCTTGTAAACAATTTAATCATAAACACATTGGCTGTATAGATACGAATGGTGACACAAAATCAACTAGAGCATACATTTGAGCCATCAAAAAAATTAAGCAAAAGTGGTTACCTGTGTTGAATTAGTTTACTTTTTAGCAAATAAAATAATAAATTATTAAACTGTAAGCTAAATTGTAATAAAAAATAAATTGGATTCGGAGGGTACAGCCTTAAGGGGAGACATGGCAGGCAAAAACATTTTGGGTTATTTTGCTTCCATAACATGTCTTCTTTCAGACTAGTGGAAAGAAAACATCCAAAATACACATTTCTACAACTCTCCCTACATCCCTATTTGCAAACCTTGCACCCCGAATTTGGACATTTAATTTTCCTGGGCTTTGAAAAAAAACAGTTCTAGTGCCCTTTGGTAGTTAAATTCCTCTGGATCCGGCCCGTTGATGGAGACCCTCAGGCAGGTAGCCAGCTTGCAGCCAGTTACGTGGTACTTCTGATTAGATGGTCGCGGACAATGTGTGAACAACAGGAAAAGATGAAATCCATGACCCCGACGTGATTTGAACACGCAACCTTCTGATCTGGAGTCAGACGCGCTACCGTTGCGCCACGAGGTCTCCAAATCCCAGTAGATCAATAAATGAATAAAAGCTGAAGTATGGCGTATTCAAATCTTTCTTTAGTTGTTACGTTATTGGCATTAAATAAATTTAATAGACGACTCAGCTTTTCGCAAAATGTATATACTCTCTCGATATGTTGTATTACCTTAATACTTGTTCTTGTATTAGCCGCTAGAGGGCCCTGTCTAACAAAATATGATTTATATGTCAAACCCAACAGTGAACCAGTCAAGTCAATATTATTGATATTAAAACAATATTTTTTAAAGCTTTCAGAAGCTTTTCGGAGCACTGTAAATGGACTTAAAATTTCCCTAATAATTTAAGATCTACAAATTATACAGGCACTGTGTTTTGTGAATTAGAGACATGACTTCAAGGTTTAATAATAGTTCATCCTCATCATGGCCCCAACTCACTCACTGCTGTGATCATTTTTGTTTGGTCTTGTGATGGCATTAGACCTGTTTGGACTGGATCTGGTCTAAAATTGGTGAAATAATGTAGAACTAAAAACATCAAGGCAATGAATAAAAATGTCCAGTGTTAGAATGTAACAATTGTGTTGTGTGCTAGGTCTTGGTCGAGGCAGACGGCTACCCACCTAGAGCCGAAGGGTCTGTCCTAGGTTTCTGCCTCTTAAAAGGCAGTTTTTCCTTGCCCTCGTCGCTAAGTGCTTGCTCATGGTGGTACTGTTGGGTCTCTGTAAATAATGTTATAAGGAGTTCGGTCTAGACCTGCTCTATTTGAAAAGTGTCCTGAGATAACTTCTGTTATGAATTGGTGCTATACAAATAAAATTGAACTGTATTGAAATTGCTAGATAGCAGTTCCACAGAAAGTAATAGATGCATACATAAAGACTGAGAAAGAGAGAGATCCTAAGGTTGGTTAACTTCCTGTCTTGAGTCAGTATCAGTTTGCTCGGATGACAGAAACACTCTTCCTCTGAATCTTCACCTCCTTTGATCGTCTAACAGGTAAAGTCACATTTTCACAATTTCACTTTCAATGTGTGGGTCTGTGCTGTATGATTGAGAATCAAAAAGATGTAGAAATTAATATTTAGATGTGAGAGAAGGGGAATTACCACTTACAAATAAATGCGAACCGAAAGCCTTAAATGCAAACAGATTGTCTTTTACCAGCCATATAATATTAATAATCATAATGCTTATTTTACATATATGAAAAACCAAATGTTGTTGAAATAATGTTACACTTTCTGTGGAGGAAGTAATACAATTGTTGCATCAGTGCTAGTAAAACTTTGCATCAGGAACTGTCGGGTAAACTGAGAAAAGCAGTCTTCTGAAATACGCAATGAAAATATCAATATTACATTAGACCATATTGAAAAAAACAGATTAAATACAAACATTCAGACATATGTGTTGGCATCTGATTTTAGATTATCAATAAATATGAAAAACATTTTAAGAGTCATTCTTTCACATAATGGTATGAACATCTCTTAAATTAATATTGACAGATTCTAATCTTTATTGCATTTACTTTATTTTTAATGATACAGCTGTACGAAAAGGTTTAGGCACCCACTTTGACAAATTACATATTTTGGTGATTTTACAACAACAATTATGTTTAAGGGAGGGGACTGTGAGGGCCATTCCAAAACATTCACCTTGTGTCTCTTGAAGTAGTCCATTGTAGATTTCAAGGTATGTTCAGGAACATGTCTCTGTTAAGGAGTTGTCGGACAGTTCACACAACTTCGATCCTCCTTACACCAATTTATCTCAGATCTGGGGCCATTTGTCAGCAATCTCCCAAAATAGTTGGCAAGTGGAAAAACACATTCAATGAGAACTGGACTTTAGAGGAAGTCATGCTTGCTGTTTGCACAAGGTTTGAAGAGTCTGAATATTTGCACATCTTTGAAATTGGCATCAGTTGACATTTCCAAATGACAGCTGTTGACATGCCTCAGGCCTAAGGAGCCGATGAAGGTCATGCCACAATGATATAAAAATGTAACTATGTGTTAATGTTTGCTGAAAGGAATCCTAGAAAGGCTGTGCTTACATCTTGTCATTAAAAAATCACCAAAATATACTTTAAGCCCAAGCCTCTCAGTGGCTAGCAGATCACTCTGTGGTTGTACTGGAAAGCTTCCAGGTCTGAATGTGTAACTCTGTGAATGTGATCGGAGAGCAAAAAAGAGCATTGTTCTCAGTGAAACCTGAATTCATAAGGGTGAAGCTTTCCTAACCTTTCCCAGTGTAATAACTACTTGGTTACTGTTAGGAAAGGATCAAGGAAATAGTTAAGGTTAGAAAAAACATGGTTAAAAGAAACAAATGTTGATAGCCACAGTTACCACTTGAAACACAGTTACCAGAGTTGACTTAGCCATTAATCTCTTGTGTCTTTGTTGATTAGAAATTATGTAATTATTCTCATAAACACTTTTTCTGACCACTCTTCTCTTTCTTCTGGCTCTTAGGTCATTATGTCCATCAACGCCTCCTCTGCCTGCCACAACGATAGTACAGGCCACATCAACATCTTCTCTGTGTGCATGTACTCCCTCATCTCCATTGTGGGGCTCATTTTTAATCTC